GGGGTTGAGGGGTGGCAGGACCTGGCGTGACAGAAACACTCGCTACAGGTGTGTGCTCCTCTCAAGAAAGACTCAGACTGTGGGATTTTTGCACAACTATGTCTACACGCAATCCTTGCTGGAAGGTAGTGGAGAAGGGAGGAGGTCCTCACAGGACAGGCATTCAGACATTGTTGAGTGGGACTACACGCTGATCAGTTCTGCTGACTTATCCACACCCCTTGCTCCTGCACCAGTTTCCCCTCCATTCAAACCTAAAGTTCAAGTCAGCACCCAGAGATGGACTTGGGGGAGGGGGTGTCCCAACGTGGGTGCGCTGAATAAATACCTCTCATTCGCTGCCGTTGCTCATCTCTTTAATTGGCACACTGGGCTCATGGCTGAGCCTAGCATGTTGGGGCTGCTGGAGCTGGTATGGAAAGGGTGTTTTTTTAACTTAGATGCACATCTGCTCTAAAGGATGAAATGGCAGGCTGTGTGACTTCAGCCTCAGAGGCAGTTCAAGCATCACCTGCCTCCAGGTGCCTTTCCACAGACAGCTACACGACGGATGCATCCTTCAAAGTGTCCGTCTGTCACAGTCCCCTCTCGTTTCTCTTGCCTTTCTTGCCTCTTCTCGTTCCTCTCTTGCTTGTTCTGTCTGTCTGTCTGTCTGTCTGTCTGCCTCTCTCAAGTCCCTACTCCCTTTTGCCCTTGCAGCCCCCTTCCCCCTCCCCCAATAAACGTCTTGCACTAACTCTGTTGCACATGGTGTGTTCTCTAGGGGCATACTTTGGCAGGTACCCCCTCACTGCTTTTTATCCTGCTGTTCCTGGGGGTCTGTCCATCCCCCAGTAGTCAAACCATGGGATGTCTTGAAGACATCAGAGGGAGCTTGGTTTCTTGCATTTGACTCTAGGAAGAGTCACAAGCTAGTGGATTGACTGATGTCTAGCAACACAGTTATGAAACACCGCCTTTCATGAATGACAGGGCATTGAGTTCCTTCATCCTTGGCCCTAAGAGGCTGCTGTTCAGTGAAGAGAAGTCATACAAGGAACAACTGCAGAGCTCTGCGCCGAGGTAGCGAAAGGATGCTTCCATCCTGGAGTGATGGGATTTTCGAAAACTGGGTGGTAGTACTTGGGAGGCAGAGACAGGCTGATCTCTGAGTTCAAGACCAGCCTGGTCTACTGATGGAGTTCTAGGACAGCCACCAAAGTTACAGATAAACCCTGTCTCAAAAAATCAAAATAAAATTTTAAAGAGCTATGGAGCCACTGAGGGCTGTGGCACAGTTCTGGGGAGGCAGAGACCACCCTGGTCTATATGGCAAGTTCCAGACCCATCAGAGCTACACAGGAAGACCCTGAGCAGAATCAAAAACAACAAAAAAGCAAGGAAAACCGTGACAACCTCACATACTATTTTCAAACTCCCCCAGCCCCTAATCTGCTATATTTTGCACCACCAGTAAAGAGTGAAGGGTTCTGGCAGGTTGGGAGAATGGCAGGCCTGACCTTCCTCTTTCCCTTTCTCTGGTAAACCATAGATTACATCCCTAAAATGAGTCACAGAAGTATATTCTTTAATTTGCACACTTTCTTATGCCAGACTTATTCCTAAGACATTAGGACTTCAGGTGATCACTGAAGTCCAGCAACCAAAAGCCCCCTTTGGCTGCCCTAGTTAACATGAGCAATCCAAACATTCCAGGGCATCCCAGCCCACAGTAACACAGACCTCCTGTTTTCCTCTTAAAAAATCACACCCACCTGTACAGCCCACTGTAACACAAACCTCCCGTTTTCCTCTTAAAAATCACACCCACCTGTAAGATCATTCGCTGCTGTGTTCTGCCTGAGTAGGAAATCGGCCACTTTACTTTTCTTCCGTGCTTGATAAAGGATCTCTCTGAGAAAATAGGTGTTTGGGTGTGGTTTGTGCCTAATCAGGGTCCAGGAGGGTGCACCCCTCCCCCACTCCTGCTGTGTGTGTGGTGGGTGTCCCTTCTAAGAGTGACTGAAACACACTTCTATGGGAGAAATAAAGTATCTTAAAGTCACACAGTTTGTCTCTGAGCTTCGCTGTGGTCAGTGTGCTACACAGTCTGAGTTTATCATTCTTTTCCGGGGTCAGCAGACAACTGCTGGGACCTTCCGCCCTGCAGTTTGTGACTCTGCTTGTTTGCAGAGCTCAATTGCGACTCAGGGTCAGAATGACAGTGATTCTTTTTTTGCTTTTTCTTAATCAGTCCAAGTGTACTCTTGGTCTCCAGCCGTTGCATGTGGACCGTGAAAACAGACAGCGGTGGATGCGCACTGTTAACACACGCATGTGTGAGTCTGAGTGCCTGCATCTCAGGCTGCCGTTTGTCTCTGGGGTTCATTGTCTAGCCCTGAGCCGGACACTAGTCCCAGCCCATCTACTATAGTTCATTAGCCACATTTTGCATAGGGCTTCCTGTGTGCTGATCAGACATGTTCAAAGGGAGACCACACTCTGCATTCATTAAATTTGTGTCTTCCTAATTAAACAGCAAAAGCTGATTGCTTCTTCCTCCTGACCCGAAAGCTTAGATTTTATCACCGAGTCCCTAGGCTCCTGTTTTTATCAAAACGATTTTTTAAAGCCCTGACCCTAAGCACCCTGGCAGACTGGACAACAGAGATAACTTTTAAATAGTTATCTCGTTTCCTAATTGACAATAACTGTCACGGAGCAATGACCTAGCAGGATCGGATGTGCATTACAAAAGTGGCAAAGACTCCACACCACAGTGACACTAGGTGGCACGGAAAGGCTCCTTCCCTTGCACAGCAGCCACCAGTCTGTCATTTCTTAGTCTTTGAAATGAAAAACTCTGCTTGACCTGCATATGCTTAAGGAGAAATTACAGAAATTGATTTAACACTTTGGGGCTGGGCATAACAATTATGGAATACAATTTGGCTATCCAAGGTAGCGTGCTAATAATATCACTGTTTACAAAATAAAAATGGTGGTGGTGGTGGTGGTGGTGGTGGTGGTGGTGGTGGTGGTGGTGGTGATGTCTCTGTTTACTGCCGAGCCATCTCCTAACACACTGGTAAGGATGAGACTGATAGAACATGAGGCGTGAAAACTGGAAAGGACCCTGAGGGTGTCCTAGTTCAAACTTAGTTTGCAAAGGAGTAAACAAAGAGTACACAGCCATCAGACTTTCAAACACCAATTTTAAAAGTGTTGCCACTAAACCAGAGGTGGTGACAACAGTCCTGAAACCCCAGGGCTCTGGAGACCAAGGCAGAAGGATTTCAAGTTTGAAGCCTAAGCAACGTGGTGAGACCTCAACCAAACAAGGCTATTTCTACAATGAACTCTTGGAGGGAATGCTGTGTTTTCCCAGGAAAATACTTTGTTCTTTCAGCTAAAACAAAGTCAGTGACTATGGATACACCAAAATCTCTAACTGGCATGCATGGAGGCTAAGCTGTGATCTTCTGGGAGCTTCCAGAAAGGCATTTGCTCTCCTGAGAAGAAGGATGCTCATTGTTCACAAACTGGTCCTCACTGGCTGAGCCTAAGACTCTGAAATGGCATTAGGCAGCAACAGCTATGATGTGACAATTTTATAAGTTGACTATGTAATTGTCTCTCACAAGCTCATGTGTTGAAATGCTTGAATACAAGCCTTGTGCTGTTTGGGGAGGTTGTGAGTTTTAACTTCATATCTTTTTCTGAGAATTTCATACATGAGTGGTGTGTTTCCATCATTTTGACCTCCCTCTAACTTCTCCCATGCCTCCTCTCCCCCCCTGCCTATCAAATGCATGACCTCTTCTTTAATTATTACACACACACACACACACACACACACACACACACACACAAACTCAGTCCATTTAGTATTGCTCATTTGTACACGTATTTAGTGCTGACCACTTGAGATTGGAAAACCTATCAACCAGGACCTTGGAAGGATGATTAGGACCCCTTACCCACACCTTTAAAGTAAAAAAACAAAAAGAAAATCTATGATGCAAAAAACAGCGTGGTCTAAGGCAGTTTGTCATGACAGCCTAAGCAGGTTAATACACAGCTGTTCTGTAGAGAGGACAGGACATCACTTTCTTCATTCAGCTACCTTATATGAATGCAATGGCTACCCAGGGAGATACAGAGAGAGAACGTCTGTCTGCACTGGTCTCAGACACATCTGCCACGTAACTGGCTGCCAATGGCCTATAGCCCTATAGACCTACAGTCCACCGAAAATAAGAACCATGAGCCCCTAGTTGTATAACCAGAAGGAAGTGGATTCTGTCAACAGCCAGGAACACTGGAGGAGCTCCAAGCTCCATCTAAGAGCTATCCTGCTGATGGCCATGTTATGGCCTGTGGAACAGATCCAGCTAAGCCATGCCTGAACTCCATAGTTGTGAGAACATGAGATAACACAGGGTTTTATACCACAAAGTGTATGGTCATTGGCTACATAGCGAGAAGGCTAAACCATACCTGCTGATGAGTTTTCTGATTCCTAGTGTCAAAGAAGGAAGTGAGGACTAAGTCAGGCGTTCCACTGAACCAGAGAAAAGAAAGACAAGTTATGATATGTGGAACTCTCTGCCACCCTCAAACAGATTTTCTCTCAAGGTTGGATAGAATAATCTGAGAAACACTAGCAAGCTGACCAAAAATTGGCTTCACCCTCTGTCCTAGCTGTCAATTTGACACAACCTACATTCATCTGGAAAGAGGAAACATCAACCGAGAAACTGCCCAAATCAAATTGGTTGATTAAACTAAGAGGGCCCAGCCCACTGTGGGTGGTACCATCCCTAGGCAGATGAATAAAGGATGCTATAGAAAGATAGCTAAACATGAGCCCGAGCCTGAGCCTGGGTCAGAGAGGGAGTTAGCAAGCAGCCTTCCTCCAGAGCTTATTTAAGCACCTCCCTGGAGTTCCTGCCCTGACTTCACTTACTGATAGATTGTAACCTGGAAGTCTAAGCCAAATGTATCTTTTCCTTCCCAAGATGATTTTGGCCAGTGTTTTATCACAGCAATGGAAAAACAAGCCACTACGCCTTGCTATCTTGAGATCTCAGACATCTATCTGCAGGATGTCACTATGCAACAATAAGTATCCTGGGATCATTCTTTTAAAACAGGTATGTCTGAGCCCGACCCATGACCCTGCAGTCAAGTCTGTATTCTTATCAACAACACTCATATCCGGGAACTAGTCACACAAAACATCACCCCAAATGCAGTCCATAAAATGAGGTATCAGACACAAGACAAACGCTGCACACCCTCACATATATGTGGAAGCAAAAACTCCAGCTCACTACAACAGAGAGTGGAACCATTACCGAGGGACAGGAGTGGGCATCAGGGAAGGACACGGATGGGGAAAGGGTGGTTGACAGGTACAGTTGCACAGAAGAACCCTGAACATTCAGGAATCCAACAGACACTATGGTTGACATCGGTAATTGAATACTTCAAAATAAAACAACAAAACAAAGCAAAAAAAATAAAACAACAACAAAAACAAAAAACAAAAAAAAATTTGTTTCTGTGTTCCCATGCTGTATTGCTGCCATGAGGACCACCAGCCTTCAGCAGCTCAGGAATTGAGGTGGAGCCATGAAACTGAGCAGACTAATCACTCAATTGACTTTTCTATCTGAGGGTGTAAAACAATTCTTTGGAGCTTGGCAGTGGGGCAAACTTAACTCCCTGAGGCTGGCGAAAAAGGAAGACACACACACATACACATATATATATATATACACACACACATACACACACTCACACACATACACAATACACACTCATACACACACATACATACACACTCACACACATACATACACACATACACACATACATACACACACACTCACACACACTCATACACACACATACATACATACACACACTCAAACTCACACACACACACACGTACATACATACATACATACTCCTTTAGGTCTTTTATCGTATCTCACTTCCATCGTTCTCTTTTTTTACCTATCCAGATGGATCCCTTCTGTGTATTCTTAATTTATCCCTTACAGCTTATTTGCCCCAGCAAAATCTTTAAATCAGATTAAAAATTACACTGTGGTGACATTCTATTTTTCAAGTGAATGATTACAATGAATACAAGTAAAAAATGTTTCCCATTTCCCTTGCATGATTATTTTACACATTACAGGTGAAAAACAAATTATCTCCAAAAACCCACATACATTCGTGTCCAAGCAACTTCTTACAGATTAACAGATTAAGCATGCAAGATACTTTTCTCAGTTAGTTATTTTGCTGGCAGGCTGCATTTTTCAGTTACATGGAAAAGATCAATTGCTTTATTATTTATCTTAAAAGCAAGAGCTACATCCCAGGAGCTCCCAGAATGACCTGCAGGCTGGCAGTCTCCTTCCAGCAGCCTTTGTTACTTCTTATGTAACCTTGGGTAGCAGCCTTGGGAATCTTGTAAGTTTCGGGAACTTCCCAAGCCTTGTAGGTTTTGTTTACTTCCTGAGTCTGAAGTTGCCTTCCTCCGGACCAAATGTTTGAATTAGGAGTCTATTGGTACACAACATCCCAATACAAAGACATGATGTCAAAGGCTGTGGGTATGCCATTACTTTCATATGATCATGCTGCACTACGTATCTATTAAATGTCATACTGCACCCCATAATATGCACAATTATGTACCAATTATTCTTGAACATCACTTTAAACCCATTCTAGATATAATTGGAATTATGCAATCAAGTGCTTACATTTTCTATTTATTTTAATCTCTGCACTGGAAAGAGACCTTCTTCCCTCTGAGGTCAGCTCAGATTTCCAGTCCCATCCTGATCCATTTCTGCCTCCACGCTCTCTGATGGAGGTTGTTTCCAGTGCTCAGGTCAGTGTGCAGCCTGTTCATTTTGTCCCAGCGCAGGCACCATGGAAGTGCTGCCCTCCCCCTGCAGCTGCTCCCAGCTAATACCTGCTGCTACTAGGCTCCAGGCATAGGTCAATGCCTTCGGTTCCATGTCTTACTTGGGTTTCTCTTGCTTTTATAAAACACCATGGCCAAAAACAACTTGGGGAAGAAAGGGCTTACTTCAGTTTACATCCCATCAGGAAGGAAAGTCGAGGCAGGAGCTAAAGCAGAGGCCACAGAGGAATGAGACTTACTGGCTTGCTCTCCATGGCTTGCTGGATCAGGGAGGACATCACCCAAAGTTAACTTGGCCCTCTCGCATCCATCACTAATTAAGGAAATGGAGCCGCAAGCTTGCCTACTAGCCAATCCCATGGAAATATTTTCTCATAGAAGTTTCTGTTTTTCAGATGACCCCAGCCTGTGTTAACAAACATACAAAACAAAACAAGGACCCTAGCATAGCCCATAAACAAAAACACTATGACAGAGGCTGTAGATGTCCTGACTCTGGAGATCTGAAGGGGGAGGTGGCCTGGAGAAAGGGGGGGTGACCTAGAGAAGCTTTCTGAGACTCAGTTTACCTCTGACAGCTCTACCCTCCCCTGTCAAGATGGGGTGTGAAAGGCTGCCAAGAATGCCAGAGTATTGATGATTCCTCACGCCACCTGATGTCACTTTGCCAGGCCTTGGCCTTCCCAGCTGTGACCGTCTCCCAGGTCCCCTCTGCTCCCACTACCCCCAACACATACCTGTACACCTCCCGCAGGGCACATAAGTTCCTAGTGACAGTGGTTTCAGACATAAGACATACCTGACTAGTTCGCACTGAGCCATCTCTCCAGCGCACTAATTTACATCTTGATGGATCTTTGACTACTCTACTCATCTTTCTTAGCACAGCAAAATAAATATTTGATATACAAAAAATGACATGTTTAAGGGTAAACTAGAGAAACCATTAATTCGCGCTTTGGATAAGTAGTGACTTTTCAGATTATGAGACCACTCCACAGAGAACATGTTTTCTGTCAGTGATTTAAGGGAGGGGGTACTTTCCGGTTAAAATTGCCATTCTAACCACAGATTATATAACACATATATAATCCCGTTTAGTCTATTTTTTAAGTACTGGTCAGGGCTAGAGCTATGGCTCAGTGGTTAAGAGCACCGGCTGCTCTTGCAGATGACCTGGGTTTGCTTCCCAGCATCCACATGGCAGCTCTCCGCCACCAGCAACTCCAGGTCTAAGGGATCTGATGCCCTCTTCTGGCCTCTGCAGGCTTTGCATGCATGAGGTGCACAGACAGACATTCAGGCAAACCTTCACACACAATTTAAAAAAAAAAAAACTTTAGAATTACTAGTCATCTTATCGTTTGTGTCTTTTACAGTTCCCACCTCCACTTCATGTAGCTTCCTAACAACAGTGCAAGGAAGAGGACAACTGACAGCCGGAACTGAGTTCCGGCTCACCCAGATCGCACAGCTGCTGAAGGACACACCTACATCCCCGCCTCTCTCCTTGCTCCCTGGGCTGCCGCTCTTGCTCACCTATTCTTGGGTTCCCAGAAGCGTCCCCGACATAGTTCCATTCATCCCCATTTCTTTGTAATGCAGGAATAAACAACTATTTGTAGGCAAATTGGCATACTTCACTTCCGAAGTAAATTTCCATTCATCTTCAAAAAACCCTAGAATGTATGAATAAGTCAACCCTTTAGCTGCATTGTCTTTCTCTGATCTATTTCCTCCCCTCTGAGCCTCCTCAACCCTCCAGCCCCAGGTTCTCTGGAATGCAGTGAGTCACAGAGATCCAGACACTGAAACATCTGTCCTCAGCTCTGGCCCTGGATTGCTCTAGAACCACGGAACTTATTCATCAGTGGGTTTTTTTAAAACATCCTCTCCCCAAGGATCTAAAAATATTGCTGTCTGCGCAATCACCGCTACTTACCTTCTTCCTGACAGACATCGGCATGATGACACAACCCAAGGTCTGTTCAACCTTCATTTAATGCCTTGTGTAGTACCAGGCACACAACAGTAGTCAATATAAGCAATCAATCTACCCGGAGTAAATTGAAAAACTGTGGCCCTGCTAACCCAAGCGTAAGTGGGAAGACCAGAGAAGGGGACTTGCTGCTGGATCAACTGTACACCCCCAACTGGTGTCCTAGTTTCTGCTGGCTGTCCTTGTGGATGTCCAGGCAAAGTCTTTGCCAACCTCACAACCAACTCCCTTGTCTTCCTATCCCCTTTCACCTTAAATGAGGCTTTAAAGAAATGAGAGACCAGGGAGTAGTAAGCATCCCCAAGGGAGTAACCACCAACACTAAAATGGTTTCCTCAGATCCTTGGTGTGTCAGGAATTGAGTATTCTTATAGTGGTATGAATGTTCAAGGATGCTTATAGAGAAAAATCTGTAATTCAAATATTTAAGTCAATATTTAAATACGAATTTCTAGACAGTTAAAATCAATAGTTATAAACTATTTTTATTTTGGTTTCTCAAGACAGGGTTTCTCTGTGTAGGTTTGGAGGCTGTCCTGGAACTAGCTCTTGTAGACCAGACTGGTCTCAAACTCACATAGATGCGCCTGCCTCTGCCTCTCAAGTGCTGGGATTAAAGGCGTGCGCCACCACCGCCCGGTAGTTATAAACTATTATGTGTTCATTTTCAGTGAGTATCCCCAAACACTGCCTGCCCCCGTTTCCTTTCTGTTGTCATGGTTTAGTGGCTTGTAGTAATAGGTTCTAGTTCATCGCTGAGAAGCCAAAGTCAGGACTTGAGAATACAGTCCTATCACTTCCACAGTCAAGAGCAGAAAGAAGGAAATCCACTCATGTCTGATGCTGTTTCTACCTGAAAGCATCTGGCTTTCTCTTGTCCTGTATAGTACAGGACCCCCTGCCTAGAGAATGATGCCACCCACAATGGACTGTGTCTTCCTACATCAGTTAACAAACAAGACAATCCCCCCAAAACAGGCCCAAAGACCAAAACACCATGTAGGCATTTCTACAATTGAAACTCAGGTGATTCTACATTGTGTCAAGTTGGAGGTTAAAACTAACCAACACAATACACTTACCATGTTAATGGTTACATACTGTTTCATTACACAGGCATAATAATTTTTATTGACCTATATTTATTGTGTATAATGATAGATTTAGTGAACATGTTTTCATTCAAATATATCATGTTCCTTAATATATTCATTCACCACCACTATAATCCCTTGTCTCATTTCTAATTTTAGCAGAAAGACGTGAACGTTTCCCCCATTTTATATAACATTGGCTGTAATTTCCTTCTATGTGGTTCTTATTATACTGAGGTATACTCTTTCTATTCCTAGCTTCTTTGGAGTTTTTATGATGAAGTGATGTTGGACTTTGTCAAAAGCTTCTTCTACATTGATATGATCGTGTGATAGTCTGTTTATGTGATGTGTTATGAGTTACTGATTTGTGTGTATTGAACTATCCTTGCTTCCCAGGAATTAAGCCAACTTGATCATAGTAAATGATCTTTTCCAAGTGTTGTTGAGTTTGGTTTTGCTGGCATTTTACTGAGAATTTTTGTAACTGTTCACCAGAGATATTGGCCTGCCATTTTCTTTTACTTGTCTTTATCTGGGCCAGAATCAGAGTAATACTGACTTTGAAAACTCAGCCTGATAACGATCTTTCCATTTTTATTTTATAGAACAGTTAGAAGAGCACTGGTTCTTCACGAAAAGTCTGGCAGAGCTCTCTGCCTTAGCTTCATCTTCTTTGAAACTCTTTTTTTTTTAGATTTATTAATTATGTATAGTGTTCTGCCTGCATGTATGCCTGCAGGCCAGAAGAGGGCACCAGATCTCATTATGGATGGTTGTTAGCCACCATGTGGTTGTTGGGAATTGAACTCAGGACCTCTAGAAGAGCAGCCAGTGCTCTTAACTGCTGAGCCATTTCTCCAGCCCCTCCTTGAAACTCTTGCACTGTAAAAGTGAAGTGGGGGAAGAAGAGAACATGCAGGCTGGAGCACAAAAAAAGAAAGATGAGGCAGCAGCCAGAGTAAATAAGCCTGTGCACCCACAAAGGCTGAGGAACAGAAATAAGGGATGCTGGAGGCCAGGGTACTGGAGGCCGGGAGGCTGGAGTCCAGGATGCTGGAGGCAGAGTGCTGGAGGCAGGGATGTTGGAGGCCAGGGTGCTGGGGACCAGGGTGCTGGGGACCAGGGATGCTGGAGGTCAGGGTGCTGGAGGCTGGGATGCTGGAGGCCAGGTTGCTGCTGCAAACGGTAGAACTGTGTGCCACTGTCAGGAATAAGTGTCAGCAGAGGGGGAGCTCCACATCTCTCCAGAACACCTCCTGCCTTCCTGAAAACCAAAACCGTCCCATGGGGCATTCTGGACCAGTTATGTCCTCACCTGTGACCATATGTAACTTGTATAAAATAAATTATCTTTCTCTCAGTCTCAGATGAAGAAGAGAAAAAAATGTCTGGTAGAATTCAGCTGCATCCTCGCAGGCCTGAGTGGTTTTTTTAGTTAGAAGATCATTTTTTAAAAGATTTTATTTATTATGTATACAGTGTTCTGCCTGCAGGCCAGAAGAGGGCACCAGATCTCATTACAGATGATTTTGAGCCACCATGTGGGTGCTGGGAATTGAACTCAGGACCTCTGTAAGATCAGCCAGTGCACTTAACCTCTGAGCCATCTTTCCAGTCCCAGGAGACTAACTTTTGTCATCTTCTTATTGTTTTTTAATAGGTCTACTTAAGTGGTTATTATCTTTTTTATTTAACTTTGGTAGATTGCATGTGTATAGAAATTTACCCATTTCTTTAAAATTTTCTGATTTATGGGACTACAGGTTTTCAAAATATGATCTTCTGAATTTTATTTGTGTATATTGTAATGTCTCCCTTTAATCAATAAGTGAATTAATTTGGATCTTCTCTTTCCTTTGGTCATTTTAGACAAGGGCTTGTCAGTTTATCTTTTCAAAGAACAATTTTATGATTCATTGATATGACTCATTGATTACCTGTATTGTTTTGTTCATTTAACCCTTCTCTGGTGTTTAATATTTCTTTCACTGTTCTGATCCCAGGTTTGGCTCAGACTTATTTTTCTAGGACCCTGAGAAGTGTCATTAAGTTACTTGTTTGAGTTTGTTATTTGTTGGTTTGTTTTACTTTTTCTTTCTTTTTTTTTTTTTTTTTTTTTTTTTTGGTTTTTTGAGACAGACTTTCTCTGTATTGTTTTGGAGGCTGTCCTGGAGCTTGCTCTGTAGACCTGAGCTGACCTCGAACTCACAGAGATCCGCCTGCCTCTGCCTCTCAAGTGCCAGGATTAAAGGCATGCGCCACCAATGCCCAGTTTGTTTTTGTTTTTCAAGACAACGTTTCCCTGTGTAGCCCTAGATGTCTTGGAACTCTCTCTGTAGACCAGGCTGACCTTGAACTCAGAGATCCACCTGCCTCTGCCTCTGAGTGCGGGAATTAAAGGCGTGTGCTACCACCACCTGGCTGAGTTTTGTCCTTTTTTTTTTTAGTTTTTTTTCTTAAGATTTATTTATTTACAATATGAGTGCTCTGTCTACACGTACACCTGCACACCAGAAGAGGGCATCAGATCCCATTATAAATGGTTATGACCCATCATGTAGATACTGGGAATTGAACTCAGGACCTCTGGAAAAGCAGTCAGTGCTCTTAACCTCTGAGCCATCTCTCCAGCCCTTGGTCTAATATTTTAATGCAGACATTTCTACAGCCTCCATTTGTAAAGGTCTATTTTATTATTGTTTTAGTGTGTGTGTGTGTGTGTGTGTGTGTGTGTGTGTGTGTGTAGGTGTGTGCACCTGAGTGCAGATGCTTACAGAGTCCAGAAGAGACTCAGATCCCCTGGAGCTGGAGTTACAGGCAGTTGTGAAAAACCTTACACGGCATTCTTAGGCACTGAACCATCTCTCCAGCCACTAGTCTACTTAATTTTACGTGAGCCTTTATGATGAATTGTTCTTGCTTTTGTTATGTCCCCACTACTACTCAGAAAGAAAGTCAACTGCAACAACACATAAGGATTTAACAGCAGTCCTGGTGTTAACTTGAACTAGAAAGCACTTGTCCACGTCTCTTAGATCCCCAGGAAGGTTCAGACAGTGGCACTAGGGTACTAATTAGAAAATGGAGTTTATTCTTTGTTGGAGCTCAAGGTATTAAAAATCAATAAATAAGCAGTAAAGCAGAGAGGGCCTAGAGAAAGGGAGTAAACGAAGGGGAAAGAACATGAGTGAGACAGTGGGAAATCATCAAGAAATTATTATAGAGCAGGTGAAGAGAAAGGCAAAACATTCAGGCAAAAGAAAAAAAAGCTAAAATCAAACAACTAAAACTTAATGTAAAAAAATAAAAATTATAAAAGAAGTAAAATGAAATTGAATTCATTCTGGGTGAAATGAATATGGCTTCTCCCTCCTCCTTAACTGCCTTTTTTGTCAGGCTCTAGAGGTGGCAGGCTGTTAGTCTTGGTCACACAAAGTTAGATGAGTTCTGCTCTTTGCTGTGTGGTGACTCCACTTTCTGCCTGAATTCTTAGTCTGGAATCATCCTCCTGCCAGTTAAGACTTT